GGGCAGCGGGACAGTCCAGGCGCGCCGCGGCTGTCCCACTGCGGGCGTGCTCCGCGGCTTTGCTCCCCATCTCCCTGGTCTGCTGATCGGGAAACGGGGAGCAAAGCCGCGGAGCACGCCCGCAGGGGGACAGCTCAAGCGCGCCCGGGCTGTACCGCTGCAGGCGTGCTCCAAGGCTTTGCTCCCTGTCTCCCTGCAGACCAGGGAGACGGGGAGCAGCTTTTCTCGCCCCGGAGGACGGGGGCGGCGGACCGCTGCGCATCTGGGCATCCCGCTGCTCCCATCCTCTGGGGCGAGAAAAACCCCGTTCGTAACTGCGGATCCGACATAAGTCGGATCCGCATAACTCGGGGACTGCCTGTACAGGTAAAAGATTCCAACCTTGACAGATTCTTAAAATCCACAATCAACAGAAACAAACAATATATACAATCATCAAGATTGACCAGTCAGAATTAATTTTATTGACTGTATTAATGTCCTCGTTTCTCTCTTCCCCATAAACAAACCAACCCATAAGCATCTCTTCTCTCTCCCCATGCCCAAGCCAATAGAAAGTTTTTTTCATTGTACAGGCAGTCTCCGACTTACGCGGATCCGACTTACGTCGGATCCGCACTTACGAACGGGGCTTTCTCGCCCCGGAAGTCGGGGCGAGAAAGGATTGTCCCACACTTTCCAGCAGAAAATGGATGTAGTTGGGAGAGAAAAGCAGCTGGGGCTACCTTGTTCCACTTCCCCTGCTTCTGCTGACGAGTGCAGAGGAGGGCGGGGGACTGGACCTTTACTGCTGACACCAGCCCTGCTGGTCCACGGCGCTGCTTTGGTTGGGGGGAAGAGGAGAGGCAGGGAGAGGACAGCGCAAGAGAGGGAAGAGTAGAGCAGAGGTGAAGAGGAATGGTCCTGACCCTTCCCTGTGTTGGGGGAGGAGTTGCATGGCTGGTGGTCCCCCAGATGGCCTCTGACCATTCCCCTGTGGTAGAACCGCATGTGAGCACATGACCAGAGCTTCTCTGAGCTGCCATTTCCCCAGCCAGAGGGAGTAGGGGATGACATCAGAATGAAGAACCACTTCCTCTCCCCTGCTAGGCAGAGCCCGTGGGCCCGATGCAGCCTGTAACTTGCATTGATCCAGCCTGTTACGCTTGGGATTCCGGACTCCATAGCAGGACAAGCCAGCTCTGGCTTGCTCTGTTGTGGGAAGAGAGAGCCCAAGCCTCGTGGGCCGGATCAAGACATGCCGCATGCTGGGCCATAGGTCCCCATCCCTTTAACTAGATACAAATTTAATCACTAGCAGAACTTAAAATTATCGATAAGGTGAACTGATTTCGAAAGAACATGGTTTTCAAAGAAGAATAAATAAATTAAAACTAAATAAATATTTAGCTACCAGATTGCAGAAAATATCTCAAAAGTAAGTGACATGTTATTGCATATACAGGCAGTCCCCGACTTACGCGGATCCGACTTACGTCGGATCCGCACTTACGAACGGGGCTTTCTCGCTGCTCCGGCCCAGGCAGAGTTGCTCTGCCCCGGGCTTCCTGGAATCAGCTGCTGATCAGTTTCAGCAGCAGCTGACTTGGGGACGCCTGGGGTTCTTAAGTTGATTCTGTATGTAAGTCAGAACTGGCGGTCAGTTTCAGCAGTGTCTGAATCTGGACGCCAGTTCCGACTTACATACAGATTCAACTTAAGAACAAACCTACAGTCCCTATCTTGTACGTAACCCGGGGACTGCCTGTACTCAAAATAAAAATCAGAGTGAGAAACCTAGAAGCCCCATCTTGAGCCAGGGCTCATAGGCTTCCTAATCCATGCTAGGGAATCTAGATCAGTGGTAGGCAATCCGCAGCCTGAGGGCTGCATGAGGCCCATTGATGTGCTATGTGTGGCCCATGAGACGTTTTGTTTACCATTGCCCACTAGGGATGTAAATGGATAACCAGTTACCCAGTAAGCATGGTGCTTACTGGGTGATGCTTACCAATTATTGGCTAACTGGCAGCCTAGCTGAGCTGAAGCACCCCATGCCTAACACAGGCAAGGGGCTGCTCCACCCCGGCTGGGCCCACCATGCTGCACCACTGTTCCAGCTGGGCTGGAGCAGCTCCCCACCCACAGCATGATGCAGTGGGTCCAACCCATCCTGAGTAGCACCCATCCATGGTGCAGCAGGCTGAGCCCGGCCTGGCCAGAGCAGCCTGCCATGTGGTGGGCCTGGCCAGGCTGCCACCTGCTCCACAGGTAGGGGAGTTAGTCCAGCCTGGCTGGGCTTACCGTACCATGGGTGGGAGGCCTGTTCAGTCCAGCCAGGTCTGCCACATCACACCATGGGATCCTAGTTAATGGAATGTTTCCATTTAACTGGCCAATTTTTTAACCATGATTTTTGTCCATGTAGTTTTTTTCCCCCTCTACAGTATTACAAAAGTGATATGCACTTAAAGTAAGGGCACATGAAGTGAGGTGCGTGCTGATTGCACACAATATTGTGAGAGTCATAAACTCCCTTTGCAACCAATCAAGAGTGCTGCTACAGTTCAATCAGCACACCCTAGAAATTCTAGGTACGCAAGAGCAGTTAGAAAAACTACTCTATTCTGGGAGACCATCTTGGTTATGACAGTTTTGCAGCCCACTCAGATGAAGGAGTGCATCTCATGGAGCTCACCCACTGGTCTACGTTGCCCCTTAGTAGTCTAGATCCTATGGATATGTCTATATGACAATGAAAAACTGTGGCTGGCCCATTCCCCCTGACTCAGACTCACAGGGCTTGGACTAAAGGACTGTTAGTAATGATGTTTGGGCTTGTGCTGGAACCCAAACTTTTGGGCCCTCCAACCTCACAGAACCCGAGCTCAAGCCCAAACCACTACACTGCAATTAAATAGCCCCTTAGCCCAAGACCCAAAAGTCCAAGACAGCTGGTATGGGCCAGACGTGAATTTTTAATTGCATTATAAATATATGCTGAGCACTCCTCCTAAAGTTCAAGCTCCCAGAGCATTTTAAGCCCCCTGGCTCTGTAGCAGGGAGCCTGGAAGCCCTGCCACCAGTGCACTCATCATAACAGGGCTGTTAAACCTGGAAACACCGAGTTCCTAGCAGTCCTCATAAGGGGAATTTCCCCTTATGCCAGGGGCAGGAGGCCCAGTTGAGATGGCAGGAAGCCAAACAGTTTCTGATAGAATCCTGCCTGTATTTCAGAGGAAGTTGGTTAAAACCAAATTATTCACAGCAGCACTTAGGTTTTGATTAAATTGGCATTTTCCAACAAAAATCTGCTTTGTTAGAAAATTCCCAACTAATTCTAGTTCTGACTATTACTGATGTAACTGACTGAACATACATCCTCAATAAAAAGGGGGAGAGATAATACTGGCTATTTTTTTAGATTACTTTCCCCAGTCTTCCTGCCACTAAATCTGTCATTTTAGTGATATCTGAATCAAACAGCCATTTAGGGCCTCCTACCTAGCGAGCATGTTTTCAGCAGATGACACTGATTCTGTGTTAGTGGTCAAATAAAACCTTCAAACAAGAGAATTTACTCCTTAAATTTAGTGGACCTGCATTCTGCCCATACAGGCAGTCCCCGGGTTACGTACAAGATAGGGACTGTAGGTTTGTCCTTAAGTTGAATTTGTATGTAAGTCGGAACTGGTACATGTTGTAGGGGAAACTCTAGCCAAACATTTCTCCAGAGTTCAGTTTTATTCTCCCACACCTCACTTCCCTCAGTCCTTTATTCTCAGGCTGAGGTGTCTGCTGAGAAAAGCCGCTCCGCGTCTCCCTGGTCTGCTGGAGGGGAGGGGGGGGCGCTAGCTTCGCGTCTCCCTGGTCTGCTGGGGGGAAGCAGCTAGTGCGGGGTTGCCTCATCCTGTTTGTAAGTAGGGATCCGATGTAAGTTGGATCCATGTAACCCGGGGACTGCCTGTATTTAGAATTCCCCTACCTGCTAATGGAATAAGGCCTAAGGTGACTTCACATTACTCATACTTCTCATGAACACAGGTGACTGTGCAGTTACCTAGTGTTCATTATTTGAACTCATTGCCAGTTCATAAAACTATCACAGTTTTATGACTCCTGAATCTTGTCAAGGGGTTAGATTAGAACAGTGTTTCTCAATCAGTGGTAGGAGAGAATTTTGGAGGGTACATCAACACAACTGAAATTTGAGCAAACAATTTAAGTTTTACAGCATTTTATTATTTTTGTACTTTTTACACCCAAAAATTTCATTGCCCACCCAGCTACAATTAAGTTGTTTAAACAAATGTGTTGCAATGGTAGAAAAAAAACTTTGTATGTCTGAAAACTGTAGGTACTGAGGGTACTCCTTTTTTTAAAAAAAGTACCCCTTTTTCAAAAAAAAAGTTGAGAAACACTGGACTAGAACACTAAATGATCTTTGCAGTTTCTTTTAACTCTATGAATCCCAGTGAAAGGAATGCTGCCGGGCAGGTGTAAATAAAAGCTTATTATTTCCGATGAAGGACTCAAACGCTATGAGTCTAATTCCCTTTGGGAACTCAAGCCCAATCCCCTCCTCACACCGGCTGGTTTGCACTCCCAAGAAAAGGAGTTCATGCTTGCTCCCGCAATCACCCTGACAGGTGGGTAACTCCAGGGGCGCTGGCGCCAGGAAAGCAGCAGCATCTCCCAGCTTGCAGTAACAACTGCATGCCTGGCTTCCCCCCTCTGCAGCGCGTACAGGCTTAGTCCCTGGCTTTCAGCACCACTCACATAAACAGTGCTCTGGTGCCGCAGATGTCCTCCAAGGCGGGTGCCTCACGCCACTCTCCTGCCCGAGGGACTCATGCCCATCTCGTGCCTCGCTGGGTGCCCCTCAGAGGTTGCAGCCACCATCACCACCCGCCCTCTTGCCAGGCTGCTTGGGGTGACCCAGAGCCTGCGGGTCGGTGCTGCCCTGACAACTCCCGCCCTCTGCCCCAGCGGGCGCTCCGGGCTTGGCGCTGCCCCCTCACCTTTTTCCTCCTCCACCATCCCGATGGTGCCGCCCGTGTTGATCACCAGCACCCGCACCTGCACCGGCCCCTTGTAATCGCCCCCGAGCTCCAGAGAGCAGGAGCGGCCGAAGCTGGCCAGCCTCCCGCCGCTGGGGGCTGCCGGGCGCGGGGGGGAGGAGAGGGCTGTGGCCAGGGAGAGCCCGTTAGCCGCCAGCGCCGCTGCCTCCATCTGTGCCACACGGAACCGGCGCTCAGCCGGCGACAGCAACGGCAACGGCTCGCGGTAGCAGTCCCCGACCCTCGTGCTTGTCAAGAACTGTTACCGGTAGCACTGCGAGCCAGGGAGCAGTTATAGACACCCCGCACTGGACACGCCCCTTTCCGGATCGCCCGCTCCTCAGGCGGGGCCTCCTAGTGGCTCGCCCGGGAGGAGGGGCAGGAGTGCGACCTGTAACGACAGAAACACTAACTTCTCCAGATTTGCGACTTTGGGTGCACTGAGCATGCGCACCCGAACTGAGCAAACTCAGTAGCCTTCGCTGTAGCCGCTGCCCTCTCTCTGCCCTCACCGCTTCCTAGAATTTGCTTCCTCCTCTTTGGAGGGGTTTAAAATGATTAAGGGGGGCAAATTGCAGTGGGGGAAGGGGGAGGTCTCATGGTCTGAGCAGGGGGCAGAAATTTACCGGCTGGAGGGATCAAGCTACTGTAGGTAGCATCAGAAGAGGGGCTAAAGGGGAAAAATCAGAGGATGGGGGGTCAGACTAGATGATCATAATGGTCCCTTCTGACCCTAAAGTCTATGAGTCTATGAGCTGTATTGTAAAGCTTCCTGTTTAGCTAGCTTGTGTCCAGGGATAGCTGTGATGTGTGTAGAGAAGGATTTTGTCTACTATGTTGATGCAATACCTAACTTATTAAGAGTAAGTAGGCAGAAGAGAGTGTAGTTTAGGGAGGGGGAGGGGGGGGGAGCAGTTACTCCGCAGTAGGAGGCACCTGATGTCCTTGTAAATATCGGGTTGCAAAGGGTTTTTTCTTTCTCTTCCCTGGACTTTGCATGTCAGCCCCAGAGAGGTGGCAGGCTCCTGGGCTTGAGTTCTTAAAGGCACAGGCCTCCCAATTCCTAGACGTCAATGCTTAGACACAGAGGCAAGAGTGTGTCTAGACTGGCAAGTTTTTCCGGAAAATCAGCAGCTTTTCTGGAAAAACTTGCCAGCTGTCTACACTGGCCACTTGAATTTCCGGAAAAGCACTGACGATCTCATGTAAAATCATCATCAGTGTTTTTCCAGAAAAACTATGCTGCTCCCGTTTGGGCAAAAGTCTTTTTCCGAAAGACTTTTGCCCAAAAGGGCTAGTGTAGACAGCATAGTACCGTTTTCTGCAAAAAAGCCCCGATCGCGAAAATGGCGATCGGGACTTTTTTGTGGAAAACCACGTGTAGATTGGCCACGGACACTTTTCCGCAAAAAGTGCTTTTGCGGAAAAGCGTCCTGCCAATCTAGACGCGCTTTTCTGAAAATGCTTTTAACTGAAAATTTTTCTGTTAAAAGCATTTTCAGAAATTCATGCCAGTGTAGATGTAGCCTCAATGTATACAAGTGTGAAATATTGTACAGACAGTTCCTGCCTCAAACTCTGCCTCTCACGTGTGGAGTATTTAAGATTCTTCTCTCAGTTTCTATGTCGATATGAAGTCACTGCAGCTCCTTTCTCTTATGTACTGTGCTGAGGAGCTAAACTCCCTCCCAGAGCCCCCACATCCATACCCCCTCCTGTACAGCAATCCCCTGCCCCAGGGCAGAGCTCGCATCCCATGCCCAAACTCCCCCTAGCCTGCACCCCTCCTGCACCCAAACTCCATCCCAGAGCCTGCGCCCCAAACAGGTTAACCTTTTGTGGGCCCTCATGGGGGCAATGGGGAAATGGGACAGAGTCCTCAGAGCAAGGGTCTCCAACCTTTTTAAGCACAAGATCACTTTTTGAATTTAAGTGCAATCCAAGATCTACCTCATATATAAACACCCTTGCCCCACTTCCTTCCTACCCCTTCTCCAAGGCTCCGCCCCTGCTCCCTCTATCCTCCCTCTCTTGCCCATCCTCACTCACTTTCATCAGCCTGGGACAGAGGGTTGGGGGCACAGGCTTTGGTCTTGGATTAAGGGATCTGTAGTGTGAGAATGGCTCTGAGCTGCTCTTGGGGCAGGCAGGTGGACATAGGAGGGGGTTCTAGGTGCAGGCTTTGGGAGGGTGTTTGGATGCAGGGGTACTCAGAGCTAGGATAAGGGCTTGGGTACAGGAGGGGGTTCATGACTAGGGTAGGAGTTTGGGATGTGGGCTCCATTTGGGCACTGCTGGTGGCTCCTGGGTGTTGGTGCAGTGGGGCTAAGGCAGGCTCACCCATGCTCTGGCCCTGAACCACTCCCTAAAGCAGCCAGCAAACTCCATCCCTAGTCTTGTCATGCTCCCTCTCTGCTCTATGGAGAAAGGAGAAAGAATGGGAGAGAAAGCACAGAAAGCAGGAGACTCTCAGAGGGAGGGGCAGCTCCAAGGCAAAGGGTAGGAGATGCGCCTGAGGGGCGGGCGAGCGGGCGATCCGGAAAGGGGCGTGTCCAGTGTGGGGTGTCTATAACTGGTCCCTGGCTCGCTGTGCTACCGGTAACAGTTCTTGACAAGCACGAGGGTCGGGAACTGCTACCGCGAGCTGTTGCCGCCACCGGCTGAGCACCGGTTCCATGTGGCACACAAAACTCTATGCAGTTTTTTCATAGGTTTCATAATATATTTCATATTGGAGAAATTGCCTTGCTATTCCATTTTCATACATTAGAGGGCAGTAAGAATTTACAGCAGGGATCAAATTGTAAGGAGATTGTCAAAGAAGCATTGCATCTTCATATTATCTCAAGAATATCCACATCAGATTCGCTTAGTTTACTTAATTGCTAGCGCTGAAAAAGATCACCACAGAATCTGAAAATTAAGCTAGGTTTTCACTTTTTTCTGCAAGAAGAATAGTACAGACTGAACTTCTGGGCTGCGTCTAGACTGGCCAGTTTTTCCGGAAAATCAGCCTGTTTTCCGGAAAAACTTGCCAGCTGTCTACACTGGCCGCTTGAATTTCTGCAAAAGCACTGACTTCCTACTGTAAGAAATCAGTGCTTTTTGCAGAAATACTATGCTGCTCCCGTTCGGGAAAAAGGCCCTTTCGTGCAATACTTTTGCGTAAAAGGGCCAGCTGAGAATTGTTTTGTGCAAAAGCGCGTCTAGATTGGCCACGGATGCTTTTCTGCAAAAAGTGCTTTTTCTGAAAAGCGTCCGTGCCAATCTAGACGCTATTTTCTGAAGACCCCTCCCCTGAGTGACGTGAACAATGGAATTATTAGGGAAGGTCTAATGTAAAGATATGGCAGGAAGGACCTGTTGTGGGGCAGTAGCAAGGGGTGGCCTCTTTTGCACTCATCTTGGTGTGGCAGGAGCCAGAGTGACTTGGCAGCCTGCTCCGCTCAATCTGCTGTCCGTCGCCCAGCCTACTGCATTCTGTTTCACTCAGGCGGGCCCCTTGTAGGTAATCTCCCAGACTGCCCTGGGCCCCAGGGATCCTGTCCATAGGATGAGTGAGGTGGCTGCCATGGGGCTCCCCAAAGCACAGGGCTGGGGTGGCCGCTCCGAACAATCCCATGGACAGGATATCTCCTGTGGTCACCAATACAAAATTGAGAAATGGGATACGGTTAATATTATTACATTTGAATACGTGCAGAATTAGGGTACAACATAGAATATTGTGAACGTGCACAACAGAAATATTGAATACTGAGAGGAATGTTACTTCAGAAGAGAAGATGCATAAAAAGAAAACAATTGTCAAATGAAGACAAGCGAGAAGTAAACACTTCCAAAATGTACTTAAACGATCCTTTCTTCTCCCTTCAAATTATTCCATTTACAACTTACTTCAGTAGCACAGAATCAGTTGGATAAATTAAATCTGCCAAAATTAATTAAAAATGAACTAGAATGTCTATCCTGGCAAACTAAAAATTAACAGAGAAAATTCGTAAGTATGTTGGATTTTTTGACCTTCAAAAGTTAACCAACAAGAAATAGACTGTTAAAATCTGGACAAATAACAACAGGGTAAAGGAAACTTCCATTATTGACCTTTCAATTTTATTCTTTATTGATCTCCTAAATATAGATTTTGTCTAAAACAATACAAAACTCTATGCAGTTTTTTCATAGGTTTCATAATATATTTCATATTGGAGAAATTGCCTTGCTATTCCATTTTCATACATTAGAGGGCAGTAAGAATTTACAGCAGGGATCAAATTGTAAGGAGATTGTCAAAGAAGCATTGCATCTTCATATTATCTCAAGAATATCCACATCAGATTCGCTTAGTTTACTTAATTGCTAGCGCTGAAAAAGATCACCACAGAATCTGAAAATTAAGCTAGGTTTTCACTTTTTTCTGCAAGAAGAATAGTACAGACTGAACTTCTGGGCTGCGTCTAGACTGGCCAGTTTTTCCGGAAAATCAGCCTGTTTTCCGGAAAAACTTGCCAGCTGTCTACACTGGCCGCTTGAATTTCCGCAAAAGCACTGACTTCCTACTGTAAGAAATCAGTGCTTTTTGCGGAAATACTATGCTGCGCCCCTTCGGGCAAAAGTCCCTTTTGCGCAAAAGGACCAGTGTAGACAGCTGAAATTTGTTTTCCGCAAAAAAGCCCCGATCGCGAAAATGGCGATCGGGGCTTTTTCGTGGAAAAGCGCATCTAGGGTACGTCTAGACTACAGGCTTTTGTCGACAGAAGTTTTGTCGACAGATTCTGTCGACAAAGCTTCTGTCGACAAAGCGTCTAGACTACATTCAGTTCTGTCGACAAAGCAAGTTGCTTTGTCGACAAAACCCTGTAGTCTAGACACAACCCTAAATGCAATAACACCTTCTGTCGACAGAACTCTGTCGACAAAAGGCGTTATGCCTCGTAAAAGGAGGTTTACCAGCATCGACAAAACTGCTGAGTTCTGTCGACGTTATGTCGACAGAACTCAGCGGTAGTGTAGACGCAGGTATAGTTTTGTCGACAAAAATTCACTTTGTCGACAAAAAACTCTGTAGTCTTGACACACTCCTAGATTGGCCACGGACGCTTTTCCGCAAAAAATGCTTTTGCGGAAAAGCGTCCGTGCCAATCTAGATGCTCTTTTCCAAAAATGCTTTTAACGGAAAACTTTTTCCGGAAAATCATGCTAGTCTAGATGTAGCCCTGTTGTCTGGAAATCCCAATAAGGACAAATGCGAATTCTCCACTTAGAGACAAACAATTAGTTTCACACACACAAAATGGAAAGTGAATGTCTACGAAGGAGTACTGCAGAAAGGGATATAGGGGTCA